GTAAAGAAATGCCTCCTTAGTGGCACCAGACGGAAAGGCAGGTTTGCTATGCGAGCTGGGCCCGGAAGGGGGCGCTGGTCTCCAGGAAATCACGCGCGGGCTGAGAGGCGCGTGGGCAGAGCCCTAGACCCCGGGAGGGAGTTGTGATGAGTCAGTTTCCTGCAAAGCGCTCTCCGCCCGCCAAAAGCGCGCTTCCACTCCGGCTGCACGTCACCCTGGGGTGGGGAGGGGAGAAGAGGAGAGGGCCGGGGACCGCGAACACGTCACGCTGAGCCGGCGGCCTTCCGAAACTTGCCGCTGTTGGGAAACGCGCTCTCGGCTGACACACACATACACACGCTCGCGCGCGCATGCACACTCACACACACAGGCGCGCCGAGATCTGGCCCCTCCACCTTATCTCTACGCCCAAAGCACGGGATGAGTCAGATCCCTGGAAAATAAAAATAGACGGGCGCAAGGAAAAACAAAACCGCTCGAAAGTCCTCCCAGAAACGCGACGTGGAGGGCGGGGAGGAGAGAGTAAGCTGCCTGGGTGCCCCGAAGTGCCAAGCCCAGTCCCAAGATTCTTTTTCTCGCGAAGAACGTGCTAGTGTCCCCCAGGGGACTCACCGTGGGCTGCCCTGGGTGGCGGCGAGTTAAGGGGCGACTGGCCCTCCTGCTGCGCGCAGCGCGGTCATTCGGAGAGGGAATTCTGGGCGAGGTCCGGGCGCCCAGAGCCCCGGGGGTAGCGTCGCGCCACCCCGGAACCCCTTCCCCGCAAAGATGCGATCCCCTCGCTTCTCCCACTCAGGCTCGGGCGCGCGCGTGCAGTGCCAGCTCCGCGCTGGCCAGGAGTCCAACGCTTGGACCCGAGGGCAAGCTGACCCCGGGTTCCTGGCCACGGTGGGAAAGGGGTGGGTGGTACCCGCCGTTCCCGCACTGACAGCTGCCGAGAGCCGCCCAGCGCCCGGCAGCGGCTCCCGGTCACCGCGGGTGCGCCGCGGAACTGGGACCAGACGGGTCCTGGACCTCCTGGTACCTTGGCTTCCCTGAGGATACCCTGTGCCAGCCAAATAGGTCACTGTGCTAATGGGGGGCGGGGAGGAGGAGCGAGGTCGCGGACGAGCAGGGAAGGGGCTTCTGGGGCGCCACTGTTCCTAGCCTGGGCGGGGTTCTGACCTCACACGGTCCGTTCCTTAGGGTCCCCTTGTCACAGTGAGTCACCTTCTTGCCTGTCCTTAGGGGACATGTCCTGGCACGTTACCGAGGGCGGGGGACACGGCTTACGCTGACCTCAGCGCCTAGCGGGGTGGCAGCCACGGCGGTTCAGGGAACCTGGACTTCAGAGGCCCAGGTCAGGGAGGCACCGACTGGATCCGAGAGCTGCCGGGGACGGATCCCACGTGAACTTGCCCCGCTCCGCCTCTCCCCCCCTTCTGGTCCCCTGTAGGGACACGGCTTCATCCCCACGCCCCCAGCAAACTGCGCCGGGGGCCGGGAGTGTACCTGCCCCGAAACGAGCTCCGGGCCGGCTCCATCCACGCCTCCCTCTTCCCAGCCGAGTTCCAGGGGAGGAGAGAGTGGCAGGAGGGTCCCGCGTCCTGTGCTCGTGTTCTCAGCCCCGAGTCGCCGACACAGCCCGACCCCGGTCTCGCGCGCACCTACAGACGCCCCCGTGCGCAAAACGCAACGCGCGCAGACCCCGCACGCCGGTCACCTGCCG